ACATTCTTTACTGTCGCACTGCCGTCTTTGCTGCCGCCAAGTAAAAGCCTGATATTTTGTCACTCCTTTTTTTGAAGCGTTGGTAGTCGTGTCCCGATTTCCCCACGAGCACGCCGTCCACGTACACGGAGCCCTTGTTGTCCTGCAGCATGAGCGCCACTTTGTACTCCTTCCCCGGCTCCCAAGTGCTGCTGTGTGTTGTTGTCATGCCGTTGAAGACTGTCCCCCACCGTTTCTCCGTCGTGTACGACAGCCCCACAAACTCTGTGTTTTCCTTGTCATCCAAGCTCGCGCCCAGTAAACGACCGCTCTCGTTGGGAACTTCATCGATCGTCACTGTTTCCACAAGCGTAAACGCGTAATCCACAAAGTTGTACACACAGCGATGCGTCCACATGTTCACGGGCCACATGGCGTATGATTCGGACCCTGTGAACTTAAAGCCATTTTCGACCTTCGTTGCATTCAAGCAACGGTACGCGTCGTTCCAAGTTCCATCACCCGATGCATCCGACAAGAATCCAACCAGACCGGCCGTGGGCACAGACGACTTGGAGAGGAAGGAGTCCATTTCTGCCCAAGTCTCCAAGACGGACGTGATCGTCTTCAGCACATCCGTTAGGGAGGAAAGAAACACGCTGCTTACCGTGTAATTGCCCTTCTCTTGTAAAAAGTACATCGCGCCATTGGAGTGCAGCAGGGAGCTGCTGAGCATCTCCCCCCATCAGTATCCATGGAAATGGGCCCAAGGTCGAACGTGCGGATATTGTCAGTGACCCAAAGGTAGAGCTGAGTTGGCCCCGCAGAGCCAGAAGCGTACTTTGCTGGAAAGAAGCTCATGCTGTACACCCAGTCAATGGTCGCAGTGGTGAAGGATGGATGTTTCAACACAACGTCTGTAAGAAGAATTTGACTGAAAATTTTCCTGCACGCGCGATATTGCCCCGACAGCCCGTTTCCACGTTCTGCTCATGCCCCTCGACTCCACAACCTTGGGTGCTCTCAAAGCTCTCAATGTTTTTCCGTCATTCGAATACATGATCATGGGGGCCACTTTGTTTTCTCCCTTCTTCGTCTGCAGTGGAAACACAAGTGTGCCATCTTCCATCAGAATGTTTGAACCACCGCCACTCAAGAGGCTTGTAATGTCTTCTTTTTTGGTATCCTTGGCGATCTGTGGTGGAAGCGAGGTGGGTTTGCCCCATTTGACCATTTCGCCTTGACTGCCGTCCTTGGGCTGCGTGACCTCACCCACCTCCAACTGAACATCCCATTTGTTTGCCAACCAGCTCCCCTCAGATTCCTTTAAGATCCTCTCATTGCTTTCCACAAGGAGAAACACTTTGTGTGCGCATTGCGCCTCTTCCCGCAACAGTTGTAAAGGACAACAAGCATTCTTCCTGGCAATCTCAATAACGGTGTACGCCTTCCATGCAGGTTTACCCACCTCGGCGGCGAAGGACGAACCCCCGCAGCATTGTTGTAGCCCGCCACAACATAATCGCACAAACGCCCTCGCCCATTAGAATCATTGAACGTGGTGATGCCTTCGGCGAACCGCCCAAAAGACTCACCAAAAATGTCATGAAAGCAAAAAAAATAAAAAATTATAAAATAAAATATGCCTCCAGATGAGGCCATATGGCTCCCACTCCTAAAAAGCGAAGGATGCACAATGGGGCGATCGCAGTTTGGCTCGGTGCGACCAGCACCCAGCACACCACCCAAACCAACAAGTTCACACGCCACCCCCACAGCCAGATTCCCGCTGCCGACCCAACAA